ACTGTACTCTGGCATCCGCCATTGTCAATAGTTTCTTCTTCTGTGGATTGTAGGAAGCCATTATGTTTTGTGTCATGCTGCACATGAGCCAGGGATTCCCTGACAGAAAAGAGCTCTTTTTCTGTTTACATGACAACAGAGACCGGGATGTTTTTGAACCATTGCGCTCTGGAACCCGTTCTCAAATTGTGCCATTGTCAGAGAAAACATTTGCTATTTTCGTGTAAATGAACAATACAAACACAACAAAACTCTTCCATTTTCACCAGAAATCATTTTCATGTAAACAGGGTCTAAGTGTACATCAAAGATACATTGGATATTGTTTGTTTTATTTTTATTTCATTAGTTCTGGTTTCAAGCAGGGCAGCACGGTGGTGCAGTTGGTATAGCTGCTACTGCCTCTCAGTGAGCAGGTTGCCCCGGTTCAAATCTCAGCCAGAGGCCTTTCTGGTTGGAGTTTGCATGTTTTCTCCGTGCATGTTTTCTCCATGCATGTTTTCTCCATGCATATTCTCTCCGGGTACTCTGGTTTCCTCCCACAGACCAAAAACATGCATGTTAGTCTGATTAAAAACTCTAAATTGTCCCTAGGTGAGAGTGAGAAAGTGTAGGGTCGGTTGTCTCTATGTGTCCCTGTGATGGACTGGAGACCTGTCCAGGGTGTACCCCACCTCTAGCACAGTGATGGCTGGACATGGTGACGCCCGCGACCTGAAAAAGAAATGGGTAAAGATGATTGATGTGAGACGAGTCTGTCTGTTTTCTGTGTTTCCTGTACCTCTGTGTTTTTCTTCGTCCTCATGCACAATTGTTTTGAATGAACAGACTGGCAGGTTTTCAAAAAAGCTGCTGAAAATGGAGGATCACCTGATCTGGACCAATACACATCCTCAGTTCTGGGGTACATTAGTACATGTACTGACACCGTCTCTACCATCAAATATGTTAAAAGTTACCCGAACAGAAAACCTTGGCTGAATGCAGAGGTGCGCACCCTGCTGGCAGCCAGGAACACTGCCTTCAGGTCTGGAAACTCACAGGAGCTGCGTAGGACAAGGAAAGAGCTGGTTGCTGGTATTAAGAAGGCTAAGGTCACATTTGCACGGAGGATCGAGGGTCAATTCTTCTCACAAGACCCTCAGAGTATGTGGAGGGGTATTAAGTGCATAACAGATTATAAAGGAAGGAGCGAACACTGCCCCAAAGACCCATCTCTGCCTGATGTCCTCAACAAGTTCTATGCACGCTTCGAAGACCCGAACAGACCACCCAGCACCAGACTCACCTCACCACCGGATGAAGAGCATCTCAGCGTGACCTCAGCTGAAGTAAGGAGTACCTTCAGGAGGATTAATCTGCACAAGGCAACTGGCCCAGACAACTTCCCCAGAAAAGTGTTGAAAGAATGTGCCGATCAGCTCTGTGAGGTGCTGGCAGACATCTTTAACTCCTCACTTACCCTGGAGACAGTTCATACCTGCCTGAAGACTGCCACCATCATCCCAGTCCCAAAAAGCTCTACAATGACTGGTCTGAATGACTATCGGCCAGTGGCCCTCACCCCGATAGTCGCTAAATGCTTCGAAAAACTGGTCATGACTCACATCAAAACAACCATCAACATCAACGAGGACCCTCATCAGTATGCATACCATGAGAACCGATCAACAGAGTATGCCATCTCCTCTGTGGTCCACACTAAGCTCAACCACCTGGAGCAGAAGGACTCCTACGTCCGTATGCTCTTTGTGGACTTCACATCCGCCTTCAACACCATGATCCTCCACACCCTGATGGACAAACTATTCACACTAGGACTAAGCCCCTCCATTTGCAACTAGGACCTAGACTTCTTAACAAACATACCACAGTCAGTGAGGATCCACAACTTCTCCTCCTCCACCATAACCCTCAGCACTGGCTCTCCTCAGGGATGTGTGTTGAGCCCCCTCCTGTTTACTCTGCTCATGTATGATTGTGAAGCTACCCATCCAGGCAGTCATATTGTAAAGTTTGCAGATGATACAGTGGTGGTGGGAACAAACAATGATGAGTCCAGCTACAGGTAGGAGGTGGAACACCTGGAGAGCTGGAGCAAAGAGAATAACCTTCACATCAATACGAAGAAGACAAAGGAGATGATTGTGGACTTCAGAAGGAACAAACGCACCTACATCCCCCTGAACATAAGAGGATCTGCGGTGGAAGTGGTCTCCAGCTACAAGTACTTGGGTGTGCACCTGAATGACAACTCAGCTGGAGCAACAACACCACCAGCCTGATCAAGAAAGCTCATCAGAGACTCTACTTCCTCAGACGACTGAGACGAGCTGGTCTGGAAGCTCAGTCCTCACCTCCTTCTACAGGTGTGCAGTGGAGAGCATCCTGTGCTCGAGCATCAATGTGTGGCATGGAGGCTGCACAGCTGCAGAAAGAAAAGCTTTGCAGAGAGTGGTGAAGGCTGCACAGAAGATGTTGGAGTCAGTCTCCCCACCATCACAGACATCTACACCTCCAGATGCAGGAAGAGGGCCACCTGCATCATGAAAGACCACACTCACCCAGCACACACACTTTTTGCCCTGTTCCCCTAAGGAAGGAGGTTGACGAGCATTAAGTGTAGAACCACTAGACTGAGGAACAGCTTCTACCCTGAGGCTGTTAGACTCATGAATCTCTAAATTTCTAACCAGAATATTCACTGTGGAAAAAAACACATGATGTTGCTGCTGATCAGTTTCATGTTGCTGCTAATCAGTTTCATGTTGATGTGTTCATGCGTGCTCATCTGCTCACACAGACTCATGCTCATGTTCGCGCTGCTGTTCCATGTAATGTTTTTATGTTATGAGTGCTTAGTGTATATTTTAGTTTATGTTTTTCTTAGTTCATATCTTAGATGTTATCATTGTTTTTCTTTTACATTTTATTGTTGGATGTAACTGGGACCCTGTGTACATAATTTCGCTCCACTACATGTACCACATGAGGTGGAAATGACAATAAAGAATCTCTGACTCTGATTTAGATTTAATTTTGCTTTGTAAAATCTGACATTTACTGGTTTACATTTGACTACCCCTTTACGTTTAGCTTGATTTAAAAAACTTGCAAAAGTAAAATATGTCAAATTAAAAACATGGGAGCATCTGCAAAACAAATGAATATTCAGAATGTGGAAGTAAAGACTACTAAATGTTCGGTAAATAAACAGATTAGTAGTTGACATGCATGGGATAACTAGATGAGCTAATCTAACCTTAAGAGTCGAACTAGCTTGATGCTATGACTCGATTCTTTTGTATTATCTAAGATAATAAATGGCATTAACATGTTCATTCCCACCAACATCAACTGTTAACTTTATTCTTTCTAGGTGCACATTAAGATCACATATACTTCCGAAGATGGACCACATAGTGGACGCCCCGCCATCGCGTGCACTCTGTCTAGGCTAAACACCGCCACAAGTAGGCGCTGCTGCTCTCATCAGTTTTTAGGGAGTTAGTATTTTTCCAGAAAAAGAAGAACCTACTCATTTAAGTTAGTTTATTTGAGCAGTAAAGTCTATTAAGTTAACATTTTATAATCCAGTAACGTTAATTTAAGTGCATGTCTTTATGTAGTTGTTATGAGCTACTGGGCCAAGTCAAAAACAGCCCCGTAAGTCTGGTAATACTCAGATATCCCAGCTTTTCAACAGCCTTGAACGCATCATCTAATTTGTGAATCTGGTGCTGTAAGAAAGTCTCAATAGTCGTAAGCACATGCAACCTGATCCGTGTGCAGTGATTTGTGCACGCACATTTGCTGATTTGTATGTGTAGTGTATTACTTCTTGTGCAGTTTGAATAGTGCAGATTTGAGAAACTACACATTTGTAACTGTTGAGGTACGCATTTATTCACTGTGCCATACACAGTTGTGAATTATGTTGTACACATACAAATCTTGTTGTACGTGTTTGTGAATATTTTAGACTAATATAGCTCCATACAGTAGTGTTTGAAAGTTTGAAATTTTTATAGTTTTCTATATTTCTGCATAAATATGACCTAAAACATCGTCAGATTTTCACACAAGTCCTAAAAGTAGATAAAGAGAACCCAGTTAAACAAATGAGAAAAAATATTATACTTGGTCATTTATTTATTGAGGAACATGATCCAATATTACATAATGTATCTGTGAGTGGTTAAAGTACGTGAACCTCTAAGATTATCAGTTAATTTGAAGGTGAAATTAGAGTCAGGTGTTTTCAGTCAGTGGTGATGATCAGGTGTGAGTGGACACCCAGTTTGATTTAAAGAACAGGATCTATCACAGTCTGATCTTCACAACGTTTGTGGACATGGATCATGGCATGAACAAAGGAGATTTCTGAGGAGCTCTGAAAAAGTTGTTGATGCTCATGAAGCAAAAATATCTGGTGAAAATCTGATAATGTTCAGGTCGGATTTATACAGAAATACAGAAAATTCTGAAGGGTTCACTTTCAAAGCTAATTGGAAATCTCTGAGCGATCACAGTGCTGCTGTTCTCTTGGTCCTCACTGAACATTTTTCTACATTCCAGAGATGTTCTTCTAAATCCCTCAGACTGCATCAGGATGTAGATTCATGCTCAGTATCATGCCACAACCATCCCACCTGAGTTAGGCTGCATTTGATCAGAATCATGGTTGTTACCTGCACCTGAGGCCAGTGTCCCAGTCCTGCTTTATATTCATGACAACCAAGCCACACTGCTGGCTAAAGCCAACTAACACTGTTTTTACAGACCAAACCACTATGACCCCACTACAGATGTTTTGTTCATCTTTAAAACCATTGTAGACTTATCATATGCTGTAACACATAACTGGGACACTACTGTGTTCTTAATTGGCACCTGTAAACCTCACCAAGACCCCTGCAAAGGCCATCCATGTTCGGCCAGATTTTGCACCAAAGCAGGGTCATCAGCCAGTGTGAGAGGTTCAATGTGTGTGTTCATACCAGACTAATGGTGAGCAGCACAGGTGCTTGAAATCTGTAGGTGAGGTAGATGGAACACAATCTTCCTGCTGTGATAGAGGCCCAAAATATGCTGTCCAGACAACCAGCCATCTTATAACCCATCAGTAGAGGAGGAGACACAGCGTAGGTGTAGACGAAGCCAGCATAGGAGCCCTGCGGGACAATAAACCAATACAATATGATCTGGAGAATTTTCCATGACGTTCAGATTTAACCTGAGTACCAGTGCTTTGGATTTAGGAGACTTTGCTGCAGGAATTTGCATCTAGATTAATGGTGACTCATTTCTGACTGCTGGCTTCCTTCCTTAGATCGTTAACTTTTACTAATTGGCTTTTGTATAACAGGTGCTGGTCATAAAATTAGAATATCATGAAAAAGTTGATTTATTTAAATAATGCCATTCAAAAAGTGAAACTTGTATATTATATTCATTCATTACACACAGACTAATATATTTCAAATGTTTATTTATTTTAATGTTGATGATTATACCTGACAACTAATGAAAACCCCAAATTCAGTATCTCAGAAAATTGTGAAAAGGTTCAATATTGAAGACACCTGCTAATTACTCAAAACACTTGCAAAGGCCTTTAAATGGTCTCAGTCTAGTTCTGTAGCTACACAATCATGGGGAAGACTGCTGACTGGACATTTGTCCAAAAGACGAGCACTGACACCTTGCACAAGGAGGGCAAGACACAAAAGGTCATTGTTAAAGA